GATTCAACGTCCTCGGTATGATCGTTGGGCCGTCCACGTCAACGTTCCAATCAGCCAATGCCACTACACCCAGGGTCGGCGATTAGAAAAACACTGAAAACAAGACACTGGGACTTCGATCATGCGGCTACTGGTGGCCTTACCGTTTACGGCTATTAGACTTTGATCTACGCTCTAGTGCGCGACGGCTCGCGAGATTTGCGACTAGCGTATATCTCCATGTCCGCAATGGTGCAAGGAGCGTTGGAAAGACACGGGCAATTTGTGCATATGGCATAGCTCAAACTCTGGTACCCTAATGCGGACACAGAAGGTCTAATCGATAGCGTCTTTCGAACTTTGGTACCGGGTGGGCGCCGTCGAGAGGATGTCGCCGTTCAATCCCATAGTCTACCGCCCTTCCCTGTGATGCTAAAGACAACGCCGTCGCTGAGCCGTTGGTGGAAGGTCGCCGTCCTCGAGAGGGAGTATTTCAGTTTCCACTCCCTCGGGTCCGCGATCCATCGGCTTTGGTTCAGGCCCATACATGTCACAATGCGACTTCATCGGTACCAGGGACGGCGGTATTGTGGGACATCGGATTCGCTTCTGTTCGGGGGCGAGTAGACGCATGCACATCCCCATTTACCGTTGAACGTTGAACGGTACGGTTACGATAGTCCGGCGTAACTCGGTCTTGAGCATGTTTCTTTTTACGAACAACATCATCAGGGGACTCGATGAGGCCCTTCTGACGGTAGGTTCCTGCGTGTGAATGTCGTGATCCCTTCGATCTGCATAAGCATCACAACGTCGTCCTCTAGCGTAGATCGTGCCGGACCTCCTCCGCCTCAAGTCTGTGGCTCGTGGCGGGGCTACCAACCGGTCGAACTTATGACATGTGCATGCAGCTTAGATGGTGAAACCTTTTCCTATGTCCAGGATCGCATGTCCAGCTTTGAGGTAGTAGTTATGCACGAAACGCGTCGCTTTCACAACTGCACTACATATGTAGGGGTATGCAGGACTGTCAGAGTCAGTCAGACGGGTGTCAGACCAAGACCCTCGTAACCAGACTTCGAGCTGCTCGGCACGCTCGGTTACCTTCTGATGGCCTCGGTGAAACGCGCACGGGAAGCGGTTGCGTCAACAGTCTTGTGGAGTCACTGGGTCCAGGCGAAACTTCGTTTGTTTGTGTGCATACGCAGTGAAGACGTTAGACGTCAAACAACTGTGGATATCCCCGCGGACGTGCGGAACTGTTGCAACAGCTGGAGCCGTGGTTTCTGCTTTTGCCGATACTGGGGCTTGCTTCGGTTTCGGCTTCGGCGACTGCGAACGAATGTGTTGACACTGCGGAATGATCGCCGCCTCCTGTGGCAGTGTACGCACTTTCCAAATGGAGGCCTCTCGATGCAACGATACCATCTTGCTATGCCAAACACATAGTTCGCAGGTGTCGCTATCTCAGACTTGCTTGCAACTTGCTTCTCCATCCTGTCAGGAGGCAGAAGTGCACCTGCCGCATCAGCGGCCTGCGTTACATTCCTCCAAGACCCCCATGCCTGGAGCCTTCTATTCGTTTATTCGTTCACCTCATTTGCAAAGGTGCAGAAATTTTCCGGAGTGACCGCTCCGACTCTCTCGGCTTTACCGTGGGCAACGTTGCTTGGATCGCCTACAGCTAGCGGACCTTTTACCACAACAGCAACGTTGCATCCGCAGCCAGGAGACATCCCGTGTAAAACTGGGTCGTAATAGCAGTACCTCATCATCTCCTGCAGCGGCCCTTTTTCTCCCGTTTAATGTACTCGTGGCAATCCGTGCTGTAAGCGTCAGCGTGCGCCGCATACCTGCATTACTCCCAGTGACCTGGGGCAAGCTTTCGCAACCTTCCATGCGCTCCCAATGCATTGTCCGCTTTCCCTCGCGCCGCAGACCTGCATATCATCCAGCCGGCAAGCTCTTTCAACATTTTTTCGGACGTCGATCAAGGTCGTACAGAACAGTGAGACACGAGCTCTCGCTTACAGGCGGTAGGTAGCGAGTTGCCAGCAACGCGGGTTCGGTATTGTGTAAGCCTAGCTATAACGCCCGTATTAAGCGTATGTGCGAGGCTTGTACTCATCCTTCTCTAATCTTCGGGAACAATATGCGGAACACCTGGACTATATCAAGGGTAAACAGTGATACCCCATATCCCCCACTCGTTCTGCAGACGACCCGGTGCTTAATCGTGATGCAAGCCACCGGACGTTTTGCTGGAATCGTCGCTGGCAAATTGCAGTCTTGGTGTTTTGAACGGTGAGTTTGACGATGCGAATCGTCATCATTGGCCAGCTGAGTTTTAGCCGGAAGGGGATTGGTGGGAAAATTAGCGGGCTGCCACGTGATGCCGTTGGTCCGTCGCGGTCGCGCATCCAGCCCTGCAGATCCCAACGACATCCTACCCATCAACACCTGCATCTGCATATACGAACACTCCACGTTGTATCCTGTTTCTAAACATATCTTATCGCGTTCCCTGCTTACGGGTGTCGTCCATCCCTTCCGTTGCACGCGAGGTGTGAGCCACGTGTTTACGGTGCTGGTCCCCGGGTTCGCCAGCGGGAATGTCGGCTAACAAGTTGTATAACCCGGATCAGAGCGCTGTGAACACGCGTTGGATAGAGCCCTGGACTGAGGCATTCAGAGTAAGTGTCAGCTGTCTGCACTCCGTGCAGTCATCAGTGAAGTAGTCGCACGGTGTTGGGGTTGTGTTCCATCACACGTCCATGCGCGGTCTTCGTGGCACCATTCCAGATCCGTCGGCTCATGCTCGACGTACGCAGTATCAGCGAACAGAATCGCTGACTGATGGTAGGCACAACGAGATGTAGGGCTTCAACTTCCCATCAACTTCCATACTACGCCAGCTGTATCGTTAGCTCAAGCCTGCTTCACGAATAACCAGTACGAACATAATGCTTTCCAAAAGTGCTTTTCAAACTTGTTAGCTGTCGGCTTTCGACAATTCACAGTCGATACTTACTGGGATCCGCTACGTTCAGTATGGAGTCTATGTCCAGTGGAGTTACCCCAGTCGAATGAAGACAGCTCAGATGAGGGTGCTTTACCAGTGGCGACGGGACCAACAGTGGTGCCTACAACTAACAGATTGAGTGCGGATACTCCTCTATCTACACTGGAAATTCCTCCACAGCTTGGAAAACGCCAGGAGACGTTGACATCGGCTCTTGTGTCTGCAGAGTCATCATCGGGCTCAACAAACACGGTATCATCTACCCCATCTTCGTCTTCTACATCGTCGACGAGTGCAGCAACGCCGACCATAATCGACTTCCCCACCCCTAATGGACCACCGCTCCTGCAAATCGGGAGCTACAATTGTACATCTCTGATGACGCTGGATTTGCTCACGGGTATCGTAGAGGACTTTCTCGAGATTACAGCTACTACGACTGATGCTGAGATAACCATGTTCACGTTCAACGTGCATGCTGCCTCGTCCATCACCGATCCGGACGCCCCAGCACCGAACCTTGCGCAAGACCAGCTTCCTGAAGACGGGCAACTCCTTAGTGATGTGTTGCAGGGTAATCTTTCCGATAACACCCTTACGCCAAACGCGTTGGATGACCAACGCGCAAACTTAAACAGCTCGTGGTATGACGTTGATTGGTCCAACCGCCCATTGATTGGTTACTACGATGACTCCAAAAATGCCGATGGACAGCTGTTCACACAAAGTGGATGGCCTACAGAAGCTTTCATGGAGTTCAAGCAGCTACGTCGGGTTGTCGTTAGTTACGGCACAATCGATCCGCAAATGGACAAGTACAACTTCGGACCAGATCTCGAATACGTTTTCCCTCCCGGAACTATCATCGACGAGCAGTCAGTATCGATTGGCTCCGATGGGCGTGTAACTTCTGGATGCTTGTTTGCGTCTTCCGACAACACCTTGACTTCAACAAGAAACTCGTCTTGGGCTCTCGCTGATGCACCGTCACTTGATGTTAGCGCGACGCCGGACTTTCAGTCAACTATACCTTCCATTACCAATCTTACCGCCTGCGGCATCACACCCTTCCTCAATCAAACCCTCGCAAACACAACTGCAGACAAGAATCCTTTACCCTACGCCGCATACGTACACTCAACATTATGGACCTTCGCACCTGGGCAGCCTCTCAATTCCTCTGGAGAAGGCGACGACACAAACGACAACCGCTGCGTCGTCATGATGAAGTCGCCATATCCACAGCGCTGGCGCATAGAAGACTGCAACCAACGCCATCGCGTGGCCTGCCACGATCCACGACAACCCTACAATTGGCGTGTATCGGACGACTCAACCTACTACGCGAACGCTGAGGGCTATTGTCGGGACCCATATCAGTTCAGCGTACCTCACACCGCGCTGGAAAACTCACATCTTTATTCTGCCTGGCAAGCTGCCGCTCCTGATGAAGATGCGCTGTATATCAACATGAACAGTCTGAGTGTGCCGGATTGCTGGGTCATTGGTCTCAATGCGACGTGTCCATATCTTCCTACTACTGACACCAACCGTACGCGTATTGTCGTTGTGCCGACAGTTGCGGCTGTAATTATCTTCCTGCTAGCTGTGCTTACCTTTTTCATCAAGTGTGCAGCAAACCGGAGAGAGAACAAGAGGGGAAGAAAGAGAAGATTAGTCGATGGTTGGGAGTACGAAGGTGTTCCTAGTTGAAGTGAAATGGCTTTTGGCATGTCGCCAGGTTTGGTGGTGAGAATACATGTAATGTTTAACTTGGCCGCGCATACGTTGAGGCTTTGCTTCACATTCCCATCTTCAAGTCACTCAATTCACTGCAGATATGCAAAAACCTGGAATAGCATAATGAGCCTACACAGTCAATGGCGGATATGGTGAATGGCGCCTTTCTGCCAGGCTCATCATTGTCAGTATATCCACAATCCCCTCGACAAGGTAGGACCTCCATCGTCAACCAATCACTGAATTCAACCTCAAGAGCATGTTGCGCAAGTTCTCATCCAAGATCGCCGCTCATCGCTCAGCTGAGTCGCCGAAGAACAGTCCGCAATCCTCATACCAACCCTCTCACTTCTCGACCCCAGCGCGAAAACCATCGTTCCACGGCTCTCGCTACTCGGAACTGCCACCATCGGGCCCCGTTCTAACGCCGCGCTCTTCGGACAGAGCACCATACTCTGCCACCGCACCCGATGGCACACCCTACTCCGCAACACATACATCGCACTCGTCCTCGCAACCTCCCCAATCCCTCACCGAGACACCGCGTTCCTCCGCCTCCGCCCCTCGTCCGACCGTAAAGCACTACCTCAGTCCACCCTCACCAAACATCCCCTACGACGAAGCCGCATGGGCCAAACACGACTACCTCCTCTACTCCGTCTCAGCCCGCGCCTTGAACCTACACCGAATGACCCTCGATATCGAAGCCCGATGGCGAGCTGCCGAAGCCGCTACACCCCCCTCAAAACAATACACCATCGGTCGCGCAGCACACATTCCTACATTAGTAGAAGTACATCAGTTGTTAGCGCGGATCAATACATTGAAGAGCGAAGAGCGAAGATGGAGAAAAGACTGGCATCCGAGGAGTCCGATGCTAAGGTATCCCGCTTGGGGGAATGTGTATGGCGAGGCTATGGGTGTTAGTACAGGGGAGGGAGAGGCGCCGTGGGATGTGGTTCAGAAGCTGGATGCAATGGTTGAGGGGTTAATAGAGAGGGTTAAGGAGATCTGAGGGTGTTTGTTCCTAACTAATGCAGTGTGTGCTCGATAAGCGCGCAAGTCCTAATAGAACAATTCCGCTCCTGTTTCAAACGCTTCCTGCAACTTCTGATGTAGCTCCATCACGCCCCTCATTGGTGATATAGGCTGTTCATCCTTTGTCAGTCCCAACGCCTCTGCATATTTCGACTGCGCTGCTGGTTCGGTGTCCCAGGGGTGTTCTGGTCGCGCGGCTTTTCCTTCGTCGTTGCGGGCCCACTCGTAGAGCTCCCATGTCCGCTCACAGAGGATAGCGTACGTGCGAAGAGTCCTCCGTTTCTCTCTGATGCTGGCTCGCTCTTCGTGATCGTTACTGTACTGGAGACTTCGATTAAGGCGCTGGTGGATGGAGTCGACTCGCGATAATATCTCGCGCGCTATTTCCCAGCTTCCTTCGAGGACCTGGTCGTGTACGGGCCACATGAGGTTAGACATCTTGCGACAAGAGCTTGATCGAGCTTTTGTTCTGTTAGTATAGATGAGTAAGTGGGCTATGTGGGAGCGCGAGTGTGAGAGAACTCTTATACGTTCTGGAAACTACAACGCTCAACAATCGTGGAATGAAGTGGTCTATAGACTACCCGGAGCAAGTGACTGATAGTTCGCGAAAGCGAAGCGCTGATATCATATCTTGCTGTCACCTATTAGATCTAGCTACAGGCTGACATAGCTACTGAATGTCGTAAACTTGCTGGCACTTCACGCGACACGTGTGCGTTGAAGTTTCCGCTGCGATGCGCTTTACGTGCGCGTATGCGCCGCTGGATGAACGCTTCAAACATCGGCCTTTGAATTTCAGGTATTCGTGGGGTCATAGTCTTAGCTGCTAAGTAGTTGTGGTCTGCCAAGTCTCATGTTAAGCAGCAGTAGATTAACTTAGGCCCAATTAAAGATATACTGACTGTGCTTCGCATGGCTCCATTGGGTATCTTCCTTTTGTGTACATTCCTTCCTATCTCCCCCACACGCACATTTACTTCTTGCGTGCCAGACCCAAAAGCGACGCAAATGGGTCGATACCATTGATCATTGGCATGGGCTTAGGCTTGGGCCTGGGCTTGGGCTTGGCCTCTTCCTCCTTCTCCTCCTTGAGGACCATTGCGGGTAAACTTGAAGGTAGCTTCACGATAATCTTCTCGCGAGTTGCCTCTACCTGTGGTATGTGCCTGCCGGTGTCTCCTTCGTCCAGCTTCTTCATCTTCTCCTTTGTTTGTCTCAGGCGCTCAGCGAGACCATCAGCATAGCCGAGTTTTCTTCCTATCTCGATGCCACGTTGCATGTCGACCTCCTTGCCCTGCTCTAACCCTGTCTCCAAGCCCTCCGTTTGCCCCTGCTTGAGCCCGATAGCCAGGCCTTCCGTCATACCAGCGCTGTGGCCTTCCTTGATTCCTTGGATGCGTCCGTCGTCTTTTCCAGCATCGAGGCCGCGCTGGAAGGCTTCTTCGCGAGCTTTAGGCAATAGATCCCAAAGGGAGTCTGTCGCCGCGTCGGTCTGCGTCGTGCATGAGGCTGTCATTGCGGAGGTTTGAGTGGAATTTGAGACCGAATCGTCTGGTTCACGTTTAGGAAGGTTCTCGTAGATGGCGTGGTCATACATACTGGTACTGAAAAGACCCAGGAGCGTTTGGTAGATGGTGAGCTGACCTGTTAGCAAAGGTAGGTGGCTTGGCATACTTTGGCTTGCCTGAATCTGCTTCAGCTGTGCCTCATCGAGTTCTTCACGCTCTTGCTGAAAATCAGCGAGGAAGGTCTCGAGCGAGACGCGATTCTGCTCGACCTCGTTGTGCTCACGGGTGAACTCGAGCAGAGCCTGCAGGCGGTCTGTTTTAGGCATCTTTGGCATGATGCAAGTGCGGAGACGATGTTGAGAAGGCAAGAAGAAGATTTGGGTAGAAGGAGCTGTCAACAAACGCGGGTCTTGGCAGTAGTCAAACGGGCAGGCGGTATAGAGACGGCTACACCTCACATCGGTCACCTATCAGATGCTCAATCTCATTGACGTCTAAAGATACTGTCGAGGCATACATGCTCCTGTTGCTTGAACTTATTGCGGCACATCGTGATTCACGACTTCGACATTGTTTCTAGACCTGTCAGCCGAATGCAGTTACCACCAACTGGCGACGACACTTACCCAACAGGATCCACTACAAAGGCAGCGTAGTAGTTTGGATGATAAGGTCTCAAGCCCGGCTTCCCATTGTCTTTCCCACCGGCTTTCACCCCCTCTTGATGGAACTTCTCAACTGCATCTCGATCCGTGCATCGAAATGCGAAGTGTGTCGCAGCTGCTTCAGCATCGCCCTTGGCGAAAATCCAGAAAACGGTGTTCAACCTGTCTGGGCCTAGGCCAACACCCTGTCCACCAAAATCCATCTGTTTGCTGTAACCGAGCGGTGCAAGCGCGGCCAGGTACCAGGCCGTGACTTCTTCGAATCGCGACGCTGGGACGGTGAGGCCGATGTGATCTAGCATTGTAAGAGTTGGCTAGGTACTAGAAGAAAAAGTCTTGGAGCTGGAGAGACTGATTGGATCGAATGAAATTGAGTGTATGAACTGGATGACTACTGAAGGAAACTTGGGATGAAATTCTCTGCTATATACCCGAGCGCCGAGCGGTTACGTGGCTATAATCAAGCCGGCTTGGCCAATATCAACGGACTCCAAATTCGACAATATTTTGGGTGCATACATGGGCTTGAGGAGACGGCAAGCTCCACCATTGCTCATCTATCACAGCTCATGGGAATTGGAAATCTGGACGGAGGCTGACAGCGGGGTCGTACTAGTCCATTCCATGCCCAGTAAGCACCCACGCTGTCAGCTGCTTTCGCGATAGTAGGTTCCAGTAGAGCTAACCGTCTCTTTTCTTTCTTTGCGACACAACACTGGTGTGCAAAGAGGCGTGATCGGATAGAGGGTGGTTGGTGACGGCGCAGGGCTTAGGACGGATCATGGCTTAGGACGGAGTTGAATGACTTCTGGTTTTCCAGCAACCGGGGAAACGCTCGGCGCTTTGCAAGTTTATCCAAAACATCCTAAAGAAGAGACGTGCGGCAAACATGGAAAGGTTGAAGGAAGAGGCTACGACGCGGGGTCGCGGAGTCAGATACCTTGCTGACGCTAACAGCCCTGTCGATCATCCCTGACGCGTCGACGCGTTCACGCGTTCGGACGCTCTAGACACCTCCCAGCCGTCGCGTTCGACAACATCAACACATCATCCGACCATGCCAAACAACAAGAAGATCAGAAAGGAGATTAGGCGAGAGACCACGATCGATCGCGAAGAGCGCGTCAAGATAAAGATCGAATTCAATCTCAAACGAGTTCAGAGGCTCGTCCAGCTCCCGAGGACCGAAATCGTTCATAAGGCGCTTGCCTATCATCGAGATCAGATCACGCGCCTACACAAGATTCAAAAAGGATTTATCGAAGAGAGGAAACGCGTCCGCAATGCAATGTTGCTAGAGATAGAACAGCATTGTTGGACCATGATGCAAGGACATGGCTTTGATGATCTGCTTACTTCGGATGATGCCCCAAACCGCGATCCCCCCAATCTTGGAGATCAAGACCAAATGGCCATCGATCAACCCACGAACAATGTCGCCAACGTCCAATTCGATTGGTCGCAAACTTCCAGGGTAGTGGAGCTGATTTCGCATCAAGAAGACGAGGAGAGAGCTCGTTTGACAGCCGGCCAACCGCCTCATGATCCGTTTGCGCCGATCGAATTTATTAGCGATAAAGCATTCGCTACTCTGCCACACCAGCTTGTCCTGTTAGGGCGACTTAGGACTACACCTCAACTAATAGACGCCTACCCATACACAAAGGCTTATCTAGAGGAACCACCACTCGACAGCAACCACGATCGCTTGCAGAGCTTCCGAAAAGATGCTATCTCAGCTATCGAGGCCTACAAAAAGCAATGCGAAGCCGAAATGAAAGATGTACAGTCTACCGAGAAGCAAAAAGTCCGGGCCCGGATCTCAAACGCAAGCAAGCTTTGGCCAATGGACAAGTTCATACTGACCTTGGCGACATTCATTCCCCAGGGCTCCTACACCACATATGCGGCCATACGCGAGTGGGCGAGTGATGCTGGAAACGACCTAGATGACGAGGAACTATGCTCAGCGCTGAGGAGAGCAAGCCGAACTTTTGGCATCAGGGAAGTTCCCAGCTATCGCGTTATCAAAGCAAACAATGGGCCAAATCAGACTGGCTGTGATTGGGGTGATCATTTGCCTGATTTCCTAGAACAGACGAGGATTGAGCTGTTTGAGCACGACAAGATCGAATTTGATAAGCAGAAAAGGATGCTCGGGGGTAGACCGTTCACATTCTATAAGTTCCGGGATCTGATGAGGGGCACCACGATGGAGGAATGGGTCGACAAGCTCCCCTCCCGCCCCTCCCAGTTCGAAGGGTAACATCCATCCTTTTTGCTTCAGAGAGGAATATGAGCGCGCCATGCAGTGTCGCCCTCCTCAACTACAACATACCAACATGCAGTATCGTGGGTGCGTCCGCTTGTTGGATCGGATCGAACATCATGCTGAGCGCCTATTACCATGCATGCGCTGGACTGCTGCTTGAAGTTGGCTAGCATTCGAAAGTGCTCTCATATATCCAGAAGCCCTATACAATACCAACGATAAGCAATCACTATCACCGCAAAAACCAGGAATACATCCTAGGGGCCGTATGCACATATTTGAACAGCAACAGAATACAGCGACATCGATTAATGTCCACCAACACAACGACAACCCGGTACGACGGCTCGGAGGTTTCATCCGCGCCTGAGAGAAAGAAAGAGGGTCTGATTCTGGCTATCACGCTCCATCATGTACTTGACTTTCCCTTCGACCAGTTAACGTGTGCACCTCGTGTCTTCGTAACATGGCACACTGGTTGGAGATCATGGCGCAAAGCATTTGACTTAGCATCAGCAGAGATAAGGCCTGGAAGTTCAAGCATCTGACCTGTGCTCTCAAGCACGTCTACTTAGAAACTGATCAGTTTTCTTCTAGATAAGATATGACGACGCGTACTTCGAAGAGCACGTCATTGCTGTGAAGGCCAATGTTTGGAACGACGTTACATCCATCAACGAGTCATTTCAACCTCATCTTAAACTGGATTTGTCAGAACGAACCAGATGCAAGGGGGGGAACGTAGATAGTCTTAGATGCCATGATTTACTAACAGACGGAGGGGCACGAGGAACTGTGCAGCTTCACCTCAATACTATCTGAGCCGACACCGCGAAATACAATCAAGCATCTCTATGACCATCGTGTTCCTCCAACTCTCGCCTCTTGCGTATATGCTCGCCGTAGATACCCCAGAAACAAGCGAAGATGCCCAATATGCTCGATGTGAGAGTGACATAGTACGCTGTGCGGTAACACGAGAGACCCAGCTCACATCCACGTTGACCATCTGGCTCAACTACCGAGTTGGAGTCATAGACCGCACCGTAAAAGAGATTGAAGACGTTTCCACTGACGACGGGTGCCAGAGTCATGAAGCCCCAGTTGACGGCGAAGCCATCGGGACCAAACGCATCGACTACAAGCGCTGGGAAGACACCGAATAGAACGCCATATGCGAGTCCGGAGAGTCCGGACACAGCCCACAGGAAGTGGGGATCCTCAACACGAATGGCGGCGACTTGAGCCAAAGCAAAGATTGTGGCAGAGATGGCTGCGCACCAAAAGCGTGAGTGATGTAGTCGCTTGACAATAAGGTCGGAACCAATGCCTGAAGATAGACGTCCTAAGAAGGAACAGAGCGAGATTATGGACACATGCCATAGCTGACGGTCAGCGACAAAGGCGTTCTTGACGGAGTCGTCCCAATGTTTCCAGAGGGCCTGAACGTCGTGACCGATATTGCTGCACTAGTCAGTGATGGCCACGATGAATATCTGGAGTATACATACTTGATTGTCATCAAACCAACTCCAGACAGGAGACCCATGAGTACCCATAGTTGCCAGAATTCCGGTTTGTTCAGAAGTGCCAAACCAGTGATATCTACACATGAGTGAGCCGACTTTTTGCTTGCTGCATCGTCGTCATTGTCGATGATGTCGCCAGGGCCAGACGAGAGAAGTGACGAGGTCTCGGTTGAGGGACGGTCCTGTTCTTCTTCGGCTGCTAGAAGTGGTTGGCAGGTGACAAGGGGAAGACAGAGGTGGAAAGAAAGCATCGCTTACTGATTTCTTGCTGTGGAAGAGCAGATGATTTGTACTTGGAGCCGTTGGACCTCGTCTTATGGAGGACATTGGAGTTGCGTCGTGTACGTTCGGTGGTGGGTAGCACAGCATAGCCGGTGCCAGCTTTGTGATCGACGACGATAAGGAAGGGTATCGATACCAGGACGAGTAAGGAGGTCGCAAGAGAAAGCATCATCAGCAGCCCGGAGGTATTACCTGGGAATGCTATGCCGGCGATGAGAGTATAGAAGAAGGCGCTCAATCCGAAGGCAGCCAGCGGGCAAGCAGTGGCCGATCCGCGATGAGTAGGCCAGTTGAGTGTCGCTGTCATTATTAGTATAGACCCAACAAGAGTTGATGAAGGTATTACCCGTCTTCAAAGCAGCCTGGAAGGCAGCACAGCTGCCCACACCGCTGAAAAAGGAACACAAGGATATCAGGCCAACGCTCATGTAGCCTGGACCTCCATCATACGCTGGCAACAGTTAGACGACAATCTGGCGAGCAGGTACGAGGTATCCTACCGAGCTTGATGGGATAGTAGCCAACGAAGAGCGCGAACATGCCGATAATTGCAGCCAGTCGCGGGCTCTTCCTGTCCGTTATGATGC